CCCGTGAAATTTTTTAGCTGCAATTTTGGTAACTCGGGAACTGAGAAAGCTGGGAACATAGGATTTTAAGGAAATGTTCTCTGTCCTACCATAGCTTGGATAATTAAGTTCCCGAAATTCGAGGACCGGTATGTACAAGTGATTTCTAGCTAGCGGAATTTCGAGTAATCTTATTACAGCACGTAACACTGCAAGAACGCATGATCGCACGGGGCCCCCCGTGCTCGTCGCCAATGATTTTTTCATTGGTCTTGCAACTTGCGCCTTGCGTATTCCATAAAATGTTGCAGCGTAACTATTTCTGATGCCACTGCTTCACGTATTCATTGTCCAGCTCCTCTCCACCCTGCTAAACTTGCAGATCGGTCAGTGACTGCCGGAAAAAATATTCGCGATTTTATCAAATGCTCAGCCTATTGGCAATGCTTTGGGGCTTACCAGCACTTGCCGCAAGTGCTCGATGCAGAAATGGTGGTGAATGGGTAGCACATGCGTGTACCATGGATGCACAGTGTGTGCCGTATAAACCACGTCAGACTGATCGAGTAGCCTGTATTGGCTCGGAATGCTGCACTGTTCCATGCTCGAACAATGGATCGTATATTGGAAGAGCATGTTTTGAATCGATCGACTGTTTACCGTACACGACGGAAAAAGTTGCTTGTTTGCATGGGCTCTGTTGCACTGTAAGTTTTTCTTCAGGTCAAATAAGAAGAATGGAACGCACCAAGATTGCCGGTGCGATCATGCGTTTTTGCGTAATTTCGTGCAGCAGCAATTCCATTAACAATAACCATTTGCTGTAGTAGAATTTAGCAACACTGCATCGCAGTTCGACTGGGCTCATGCTGGAAGAAAGACATATAACTTTTTATTTTTTTTGTACAAGATTTTGCTTTGCCAGGCGCAATCGCGAACATTTTTGGCTTTTAAAATTATCGTGGTTATAATTGCGCCTCTGGCGCTTTCTCACAGTGACTTACAATAACTCTTCAATTTTCTGCTCAAAGCCATCGAATTCAATCCCCTTTCCTTCGTTCCTTCTTACAAACCATTCAACTTTCCTTCACCATTTCGCCAATTAAACAGCTATTCATTGGCTGGCCACGTGTTGGGACTATCACCATGCAGAGACGCAAAGACACAAAATGTGCGGTATTCGTTGACTTTTTGCAAATTCAAACGGCTGCCCGGTCGGGCCAGATATCAGTCAGTTTGTTATATATTTTAGGATAGGCAAGTGGTCGAAGACTACAAGAAAATTTTGCCTCTCTCAACCGCAAGAATTTCCCAGTGATAAAGATGGCAATAATTTTGCAAAGTGGATTCAAAGTGTCAGATGCTAGATGTTGGAGTACGTAAAAACTTATTTTTAGCGCTTTCTGTTGCCGCACACTAACAGACAGCATAGTTTTTCGCAATTTTTAATCAAAGAAAGGAAAGAATGCCAAAAATTTTGGAAATTTAATTCTGACTAAATGGCAAAATAAACGAAGGAGAGGCAAAATCATAAAAAATTGCTTCTAGGCAGTTTTCTGAAGATGGAGCTAGACGACTAAGCGGCAGAACAGCCAATGTTTAGCTAACGCCGATAATGTGTTACAATTTGCCGGTTGTTTTCAACTGCCTTAGTCTTATAAAAACTGAGATTTGGGAGTATTTTGACTTTGATTTCTTATATTTTTCCTAATTCTGCTGATCGCAGTGTGAATTAAAATATTAAAAAAAAATATTCACCAATAAGTTTTGCTAGCAAAATTCTAGAAGCACTTGTTTTCGTTTCAAAGC